GTGCGACCAGCAGAAGCTTCCAGAAGAATCATGCAGGGCAAGGAGCCTGGAAGGTGAAACCGGCGCCAGGCTAAACTGCTTCCCCTCACTTAATGACACGTTTGGTGCAGTAATGCAACTTCAAGAAACTCCTGACTTCTTCCTGTTGCACACCCCCTCTACCATGTCAACACAGCTTCTCATTTAAACCATGTAAACTACCTGCTGCTGACTAACCTACAACAGTGGTGTTAATTAACTAAGTACATTTACTCAAGTACTGTACTTAAGTATAATTTTGAGGTACTTGCATATTTTTATTTTATGCTACTTTGTACTCCTACTCCACTACAATTCAAAGGGGCATATTATTATACTTTTACTCCAATACATTTTTGTAGTACCTTTAGTAATTTTGCAGATTAGGATCAACAATTGAAAAATACTGAAGATACATCTGGATTCAATTCACATTCTGCCCAGGAGTAAATAAAGTAGATTACATTATTTCCAATTTTACGAGCTTGATATACACATCAATACATCAATATATAACCAAAACATGATATATATCATTCTGAAAGGGGCCAATCTGCTTAATGAGTACTTTTGGTACTTTAAGTAGCCTATATTTAGATGCCAATACATTTGTAGGCTACTTAAGTAACATTTTTGAATACAGGACTTTCAAACAGAGTATTCCTACACTCTTGCACTTCTACTTTGACGTAGGATATATGATCTGAGTACTTCTTCCCCTCCTGCATTCAAACCATGTAGTTTACAGCTGCTGAGTAACCTGCAACGTATTTAGATCGGACGCTATTAATACCATTAATAGCGTGAACATCAGTCCCATTCCATTCCTTTGTGTGTACAGCGTAAGCCTACACTACACGCCATTGTGGCCTAAACAGCTGGGCGTCCAAAATTGGAGCATGATTTGGCTCCCTTTCTTGGGTTGGGTTCTGGTGATACAAAGGGCTCTTTTTTTAATCTGTCACTGAAGAAGAGCACGCTCCCATGGGGTATGTTGCCTCGCAACGACAGGCCCCGCCTACCATCGCAGTGTATTCACCTGAGCTGGGTCACACGTGACACAACCTGCAGGCTCATCCAATCAGGAGTGAGGACAGGTGCTCCGCGAGAAGAGTTTCGGAGGCGGAAACCTGCTGGGTCAGTGAAAGAGAGCCTCTCCTTATAAATGTGTCAATTGATGTGTACTATTCTAAAGAAACAGCAGAAGTAGAAGAGAATTTCGCGAGAGCAGCTAAAGAAAATGAAATGTTTTGGAGGTGGCGTTGAAATGGATACTGCTTCGACCCCTTGAAGGACTGCTGTCACACAGTTGTTGTCCACCACTGAAGAAGAAGGCGACACTGACCTGTCCTGTGGATTTATATCTCAGAACAATCATAAGTGTAACATTTACACTTTGCCTCGGGTCGTTTTGAGTGTCCACACACTTTACTGCACTCCTGAGCTCAGGTGAGTTTTCATGACAGCTTTTTTTGCGCATCTGTGAATCACGGCTTGGGTTTGTTTATCTGTCCCTACCACCCATTAAACCAGTTATGCAGAGAAGATAAACATGGTTACACTGGTTATTCTGAGGAGTAGCTGGTGAGAAGTTGTGTCAGCTGTGGAACATGTTACAAGATAGCAGGTCATATTTAATCATATTCAAATTTAGCAAAGTGCCAAATCATGATGTCCAAACAGATAATATGAGTTTTGAATATCATAGGATCAAGATGTATGATGATGTGTGAGAGTTTTTAAGTAATAATTAGATATATGGATTGGCGACATGGCCAAGATCTTCTAATACAAAACAGGTATCACATATGTTTCTCTGGTTATTTGATTACAAAATTGTCTATTTGAAATAAGCACAGGGTAAAGCTTATTTATGTATACTGCTGCCTGACTTAATACTTGACAAATGAAAAGTACTGAATATTTTCTCATGAGGAGAACTTTAGTGCACAATAAGCAAACACGGTGAAGCTATAGTTGAACCCACAATGGAAACCAAATGGAGAAATATTTACAATTCACATATTTGTACAGTTTTGACTATATAAATCGTCATATAGCTCAGTCCTATTTGATGTTTTATGGGAAATTAGGATATTTAGAAGCCAGTTTAGAGCATGAAGATCAAATGACCTCAAAATCAAATGACAGCTCTTAAAATAAAACTGATGCAGAGGAGAAGATCTCAACTAAAATACTGATGGCATCTGTTCCCCATTCCAGCATCCTCCCTCCAGTCCAATATGACAGAGAGGATCCCATGGTGGAAGGCATTCCTGCCCAAGAAGAAGAGTGGAGGCCCTAAGGACACACCCCACTCCCTTGACCAGGACTTTGACCCCTTTGCACAGCAGCCCGAGAAGCAGAAAGACCCAGCAGCCTCCAAACCTGCAGGAGACAACCTCCAAGGGTCCAACAAGGCCTCCAGCCTCCTCAACGATGACACCTACGATGACTCCCGCCTGGAGTCGGTCTTCAACGAGCAGACATGTCGCAGGAATATGAATGTGTCACGCTCGGGTCGATTTAAGGAGAAGCGGAGGGTGCGCTCCAGCCTTCCTATACAGGACAATGAGACATAGAAAGTGTCATCAAGGAGAGAGGTGATGGTGAGGAAGGAATCAAAGACTGCTGTATAAAAGATACCTGAAGGAAAGGAGAGGACTTTGAGTTTCATGAAGATGCTTTCTTCTCTTGAGGCAGCCAACCAAGAGGTCTGCTGTATGTTGGTTACCGGGCGAGGAGCATTCAACTTTTAGCCCCAAACTGCAGAAATGAAGTTATTTGGTAGATGACATATTGGAAATGTGGACATTTTCGCTGATGCCAGAAGGCCAAAGAAACTATGAAAGGTGACTTGAAGAGGATCATATTTGTGTTTCATGATTGTTATGGAACCATTTCGCCAATAATATTGAATAATCAAAGCCCAAAAAAGGAAATATTATGAAATTGATGTAGGCACTTCAGACCTTAATATGTAGTTTGTGTCCCACAGTGTAACATTTCCAGTCATGGACAATGTAATCATTGAAAGAATCTTTAAAAAACCTACAAACTTCTAAGAAAGCACATTCCTCAAATCCAATTGTCTGTCAATACTGAAGTGTAAGTGTGATATGCTCAAGAAAAAAAAATACTGTGTATAAGATGTTAACATTATTTCTATGATGCAAATAATATATGTTTGATAATGAAGGATAAGTATAATGTTCCTTTTACAAAAATGTTTGATTCAAAAGGGTTAGAAGGATGTTTATGAAGATGTAAAATGATTTTATAATTATGTTTGACACACAATATCACTGTGGAAGAAATTAAGCAATGCTTGTGAGCCGCCTTTAATCAGATGCACAACACTTGCCAGGAAAATGCATAAAAAATGTTGAATGAAGGATGAAATCCAGCATGTTGTTTGACATCATGGGTCCAAAACAAACTACCGACTATGAAGTAAGAAGCTCCCGTTAAGATATATCAGTGTGAATGAGATATATGACCGTGTAGCTGAAGAAGTATAGTCCAGGTGTAGTTTGCTTTGCAGGATTACTGTATCTTGGACCAACTGTGAAAACTTAAATGAAGACAAAATATGAGAAATAAATCTGATAACTGCGTGCATGTGTGCTTCATTATCCTATTCAACCACAATCTAATTAGTAAACTTGGACAGGGCAAAGATAGCTTTGTGTTGTGTTGGAAAGTGTGTCTTGATATTGCTGCTAAATCTAAAAAAGGTAAATTATTCTACAGTTTAAGGATAACATAAAAATCACCCAAAAACATGAAATAACCTCAAAGTAAAACAGATTGTAAACAGATTTCGTATCACATCTTGTCAGTCGTGTTAGTGCCACGTCACTACTTGACTTGAGACGAGGAGGGGGGGTTAAAGTGTATTTATAACATAGTCTGAAAAATACAATAGTAAAGGATTAGTGCCATTTAAATGTGGCGTCTGCAGTGTGTGTCAAACCAAAGTTCAAAGGGAGCCTGTGTCACTGCATTCCTCTTGAGGTGCGTGTGTGTGACCGGGGCATTACAAGGATTATGACGCATAATGCACAATGCGTCAATCATTTCACATGTATTGCATTAATACCATTTCATTATCATATATTAATGAATTTGCCTTGAGTGAAAGACATACTTTGATATTAGTTAATGCACACCCTTGAAAAGGATGACTTGTAATGTCATATTTTAACACAAGGGGGCGAAAATGTGCAATGAAACCGTCGAAAAATAGAGTTTTAGAACTAAAATCTACTTAAAAGTAATTAAAAAAAATCCATAAAGGAATACGTTGTTACTGGACAGCCATGGGTTTAGCTTATCAATACAAGCAGTTATCATGATCTTGATAATGCCTACTTAATTTGCATTGGTGTAAAGTAACTAAGTAATGTAGTTAAGTACAATTTTGAGGGATTTGTACTTCACTTAAATATTTCAATGTTTTGCTATTTTGCACTTCTTCACTTCAATTTAGAGGTAAATTCTGTACTTTTACTCCACTTAATTTATTTATTATCTTTAGTTACTTTGCAGGTTTGGATTAATAATGATAATTTAGACAACATTCATAAGACTTAACTTACACCTAACATTCACAAATGACCCTGCAGTAAACACAGTTCAAACCAGATGCACCTTTACTATACATGAATGCATCAATAATTGTATTCATAAGGTTTATATTATTCTGCATAATGAGTACTTTTGGTATTTTAAATGTATTTGGATGCTTATACTTTTGTACTTTTACTTGAGTAACCTTTGATTGCAGGACTTTTACTTGTACATAGTATACCTACACTCTGGTACTTAAGTACAAGATCTTCTCCCATCTCTATATTTCACACAGGTGTAGGGAAAGTTTCTAGGGAGCATGAATTGAGTCGATGACACGGTCCTCCCTCTGCCTCCTCATTGGTCCCGTGCTGAGTGGGGGTCGGTGAGGTGTGGCCGCGCGCTGCTCGCCTCCTGTAGCGCGCTCACAGTTTTTCAAACAGAGCCAGAAAGAGACCATCGTGCACTACCACTTTCGCTTGTTTTCTCTCAGTGTGAAGTAAAAAAAACCGTTCTGTTATTTTTGAAACGCTTTCTCAAGGTTTAGCGCAACGGCCGGATCAGTGGTGTCTTCATTGGACTATAAATAGCCTAACTGAGGGGGGTGCACTATGAGGACACTGTGCTGTGGTCCTCCACCTCACTGAAGCTGTCCCTGCAAACAGGTGGATTTGGGATATTTCAAGAAGGTAAGACAATCCTGGTGATCTTGTTTCCGACTCTCTGGGTTCTTTTTCTTCTGCAAAGTGTATGTGTAAACGTAGGACATACCATGACATCACAATGAACTGTTTATCTTAACTCCTTGTTTTGTTATTGTCTCTCCGCATCAAGTTCATCTTACTGTCATAGGCATTCTTGTTTTAGTGGAAAGGTATTCAAGCTGCATATCATTCCCACAGTGCAGTTTAAACTATAAAAACAGATACTCTTTATACACTTATGTAGCTATTTTCAATTTTAATATCGTTCCACCAAAGTTTCAAATACATTTTGTTTACGTTTTAGAAATAAAATAAAAAGACAAACATGTGGAGGATTGTTTAAACACTTGTGTTTTTGAGACATTGGCTTTTCTCCCTCACTGTTAGTCTTAAAGACCAACCATGTGTTTGAAATGTAAAAATCAACTATTCTTACGATTTGCACATTTAGTGAATGGGACACATATATAAATGAGGTTATGCAGTCCTTCATAGTTTTTAATGTTTCAATATATTTCCCCTGTTGACATCTTATGTGCAAACTGTAAGAAATGCAAATAATACAAATGAAATGTATTTATTTAAATGTGACTGTAATGCAGCATAAAAAAGTCCTGACATCAACGCTGATGAAAATCCATCATATTCACGTTAAGAAAACATGGCCACCTGTAAAACATTACAGAACCCAAACAGAAATGTATAGAAGCACTCTCCTCATTGATTCATACATAAATATATTTATCCTTTAGTCAATAAAAAAAGCCGGTACTGGGGCTTCATGTTCTCAATCTTCTTTGCATAATTACATATAAAAGTGTAGAAATCCCTTGTTAAGTCTGCCACTTCCTGCTGCGTGTGTGTGGTGTGTGTCATCTGACTTCCCTCCAGGAAGAATTCTATGTAATACAGATCAAAGAGAAACAGCTGGTGAGAGGTGCATTAACACTCAGCGTACCAACTGGTCCTCCATAGAGCCAAGCAGTGTCCAGCATTTCCCCCTTTAGAGACGAGACGTGTCACAGAGGCCGCCTGACACAGATATGGAGATAGAAATAGAAGTGAAGGACAGTCTGACGACACACACACACACACACACACACACACACACACACACACACACACACACACACACACACACACACACACACACACACACACACACACACACACAGACAAAGACAAGAGGGACTTATACTCAATTCAACAAAAACAGGTTCTGTTCGGTTTGATTAAATTGCTCAGCATGTGCAAATTCCCCAGAGAATTAAATGTTCACAAAACTCAAGCTGTTTTCAGACTTTCACAGTCATGCAAGACAGCTCGTCAAGAATTTATGATGTCAACTAAGTTGTGTGTGGGTCTCAGTGACTGTCGCTGTGGATCATTACCCAGCAAAGTTGCCAACGACACAAGAACATTGAAAGACAGTGATGTAATCCCTAGTTAGTTTATTTTATCTGATATGGACAACACAGTAGCACAAGGGCCAGATGCTATGTGGTAATGGTTTGTTGTGAAATGCTAATTTACACATTTTTTCCTCTTCTTTCAAAAACATATAAACTCCAAAAAGAAAGCACATCCACAAATACATACAAAGGATACATCACAAAAACTCAAAATACAGTTGTGTCTATCTGTTCCTGGAAAGTTGCTGTTTGGCCACTTTAGCTTATCACTTTTATTACTGAATCACGAGGCATCCTGTAACATGTCCATTTGGAAAAATAATCAGGAGAAAGTAGACTACAATGTTTTTGCAGGCTGTAGCGTTTTCCGGTGGAGTTTCCTCAACGTGTTTTCCAATTCTGACTGAAGGGTAGGGGTCTATTACTTTTCACACAACACTCTCCATTGTCCCTCTCCCAAGTCCCGCCACTGGGCATTGTGGGAAGAAGAGGAGGACAGGGGGGTGTTGTGTCTGTTTTCTCTAGAGAGGATGGAGCGCTTGCTGTTTTCCTGTTTTGCGCTCTACGCTGGTGAAAGCTCTTCCTGTTCAGGGGAGAGGGTCAGAGGTCATCGAGAATCCCCCTGCACACAGGAGCAGCGCATGAATAGGATGGTGACTGTCTTTGCTTTTGCATTGTCTTCTGCAGGTATCTGAGGCCTCAGCATGCCAATTCCCCCCCCTCCCCCGCCTCCTCCCCTTGCTCCCCCTCCACCACCTCCACCCAGCGCTGCCCTGCCACAGGTAAGAGTCCTTCTTATGCAATTTTGCAAAGACTCACTCGTTTCCTTCTCAATGACCATCAACCATCACCTGTAGGTTGTTTGCAATATTGATTGAGGTAATACACACACACACACACACACACACACACACACACACACACACACACACACACACACACACACACACACACACACACACACAGTAGGGCAGACAGCAGTCTCTCAGTAGCAGAGGAGTGTTATGTTTCCGCAACAGGCGCTCAGTGTCCTCATGTTAAATGAGAAGCCGCTGCCAGCGAACACGGACACACTGCGGAGACACATCAATACACTGAAGTCATCTCATCTCTCTAGGAATTTCTCAACATTACTTAAAGAATTATTCTCCACCCTGCTTCTTTTCTTCTTCCCTAGCTTTAATTGTGTTCCTATTCCCCCTTGAAAACCCCTTTACTGAATGCTCTTACTGAATCTTAGTTTCTTTTACGTTTTTGGGTTGGACGTCTGACTGTTTACCCATTGTCATGAACACAATATCTCACAAACGCTTTGAGAGAATTTCTTTATATTTGGAACAAATGTCCACTTGGACTCAAAGGTGAACTGATTACAATGTCAGGGACTATGGTTAATTGTGATAAGTGCTTTACAGAACAATCCATTTAACTTTTTCTCACCCATCTCTTAATGTAAAAAATTATCAAATATATATTGAAAATACACTAAGAAGGGCTGAAAGTACATTTTCCTTTTTTTGCGATTTTGTGTTGAGTTTTTTTTGGAACCCTTTTAAATATATCAGAAATACTTAAAAAGAGAAGAAAAAGTTACATGTAATTAACTTGAGTCCAAGATGATGTCTTCAAACATCTTGCTTTTCTGATCCCGATTCCAAAACCCAAAAGATATCCAATAAATGAAAACATGAAACAGGAATTAACCATTGGAGCTTGCATTAAGTATATACAGTAAATGCCATTATTAAATGATTTTCAAAATAGTCTTTTCTTTATTTAGTGTCCTGAAGTCGACCCTCAAGGCAGAACAAATATGGGGCAATTCACTGTTAGATGAAAGCTGTTTTCTGTCTCTGTGTGGCAGTGTCCGTCGGAGCCTCATAAGCTCCAGTGTGCAGGAGCAGGTGGAAGGAATGCCCTGCTGGCCGACATCCAGAACGGAGCCAGACTCAGGAAAGTAGCACAAGTCAACGACCGCAGTGCCCCGGCCGTGGAGAGTAAGACCAACAACCTTACAGAGCTACTAATGTACACATGGACACACTCACCTAATTCTCACAGTGGAGCTCAAAGGAAGGAGAATGATGTGTGTTTATGTGTTAGGATGCCATAGTGTGAGATATAAATGTAAAACAAGACTTTGGGAAAAAGGGAGGGTAGTGTGTGTGGTCGATCTGGAGTGTGTTGCTTCTTTTTGACACAACAAGTGGACACTTCAGGAAGGAATGCCCTGAGGGAGATAAGGATGCAGGAAGAATAGGAAACAACTACAGTGACACACACAGTAGATAAGACATACATAATGTATCCCCAGTATACAATAAGATTTATAAAATGGTTAAATATGTTGCATAAACAGTATTTTTCAAGTATGTGTGCATTCAACGGTATGTTTTGCCCGGTTGCAAGACACATTTCAAATGTTTGTATGACCATAAAGTAACACTAAATGGACAGTGGTGCCATTATTATGATCACTTGTGATGTAATGTATGTGTACACATGTGTTGTTCCACAGATCCCAAGACTAGCCCTGGAGATGTTTCCAGTGTGGGCTCAGCAGGAGGGACACCCGTGGGACCCTCTTTGGGGGGGCTCTTTGCTGGAGGTTTCCCCACCCTCAGACCTGTAGGACAAACCAGCAAGACCCCAGGTTGGTGAAAACATGTCTTGCTATGTCTAAATCTATAAATGATATCATGCAGCAGTTGCAATATTTAGTCAACCAATGGACCAAAAGTTGTTCAACAGAAAAATAATCGGCCAACTTTTTTGAGTATCGTAATTTTACATAAAAACATGTCTCAAATATGGATCATGCTTTTTTGATGTTTCATATGATATTAAACTGAATATCATTTGGTTTTAGGCTGACTGAAGAAATGTAACATTACCTTGATATTTGACTGGGATGTTTTTTTATTGTTTTCTGACATTTTGTAGTCCAAAAAATGCATCAATTAATCTAGAAGTTAATTTGTAGTTTTTCTTTATAATGACAATAATCACTATTGTCAGCACGAACATTGATTATCGAATTGACTCCCCTGTGTGTGTGTGTTTCTCAAAGTGTCCCGGTCGAGCTCCTCCGCCTCCCTGAAGCCCCTGTGGAACCCCCCCCCTCCTCCTCCTCCAGCCGACAGCAGCAGCGTCTCGGAGCATCAGAGGACAGCAGAGCACCGTCGCTCCGTCCACCGCCCTCTCCCCCCCTCCTCCTCCGCTCCCACCTCCCCCTCCCACAGCAGCAGGCACCCACCTTCATTCCCCACTTACTCTCCCCCTCCTCCTCCACCTGCTCCTCCCTCTGCCCCTCCTCCACCGCCTCCTCCACCTCAGGACCGACCCGCTAACAGACACCCTCCCCTCCCCACCTGCCCTCCTCCCCCACCTCCATCCCAGGTCATCAAGCCCACCTGGCTCCCCCTCCAGCACTCCCACCACAGCCCCATCTCCCAGCCCTCTACTCCTCCTCCCCCTCCTCCACCTTTCCACTCTCACTCTGCTGTACCAGGGGATCGCTCCTCAGGGTGCTTCTACCCTCCGCCTCTAGTCTCCTCTGAACCCTCGAGGTTCCCCATCCTGCGGGACAGCCCCCTGGGACCTCCTCCTCCACCTCCGCCTCCTCCTCTCCCATCTTCTTACACCCCCACCTGCCCATCCACTCTCCCCCCTCCACCACCCAAGCTGGCCGCAGTACCCTCACCAGCCATGCGCCCTCTGCCCCCCTCGTATACCCCTGCAACGCCCCACCCGACGGCCGCCTGCTGTGCCCAGAAAGTGCAGGTGAGTGGGACGCCATGATGAGAAAGGTCTTATTTTTTCTCACCTGTGATTTCGTTTAATCTTGAAATGCAAATAAGTTGCGAGGTGGATTACAATAATGAAACCTTCTTGTCATATTTTTTGAGTGAGCATCCCAAGGCAGTGCGTATCTGAGATGTTCCCATCACCACTTGTAGAAGCAAAGTATAGCTGTAGCTACACTGGTCCAATAAATAAGGCCACGAACATACATGATGTCTTTTTTGACTGGTTTTACTTCTTTCACCTCTCGCTCTCATTCTCCCAAAGACAACGTGTAAAAACTATAGAAATGAACAGTTGAAAGTTTACATTAAAATTGCTAACACCTAACACATTAGCAAATCAAAGCACACAACTAAATATTAACACACATCTCACAAAAGGAGAAACATTTACCGTGTGCGCTTCTTTGAACCCTGTGATTACGCCAACGGCATTGTGTTGCCATGCAATGCCTTCTGACCTGACTGTGGTCATGGACTCACCGACCACATCCAAATGTGAACCATCTACATTTCGCTATCCAGATAATAACTCTACATTTTACAATTGTCTTAATTAGACTCAATAATTACTAAATCATAATGATAAGCAAGGCACACAAATGATACATCCAAATATAAACACTTCTCAGACCGTTTACAATAGCCATTAACCGACCAGGCAAGAATGGAGCCGGTATGGAATTTATTCATTAGGGCTCTTTTAGTTTAAGCTCCGATCATTTTTTAGACTTTTACCCTTCCTGTCCACTCCTCTCTTTCCAAGAACAGATAAACTGAAGAGCTGTTTCTCCTAATGTGTAATGGCAGGCCCTTTCTCCCGCTTGGGCTTCAACTACAGCTGTTCGTATAGTATTACCAAAAAACTGTTTTTCTTCAGATAATAACAGGACAGTTTGATCTGCCAGGGAACAAGGGCTTGCAGACGTTCTTGTTGTATAATTTGAATTATATTTCTAGGTGTGGTTAAGGTATCAGGGAAGAGAGCTTCAGAGTGGTTTGTCCCTTACTGGTGTCTCTGTGGGGGTCCTTAACTTCCTAATACATTCTCGAGCTGATTAATTTGAGCTCTCAGTGTACTTCTTGTGTTCTAGTTCTTCCGCTCCATGATTTTATAACACAATCCAACCTAAGAAAGGATGAAGATTATGTTAAAATAGCCGCAACAGAAAGTATTAGATGTTACAGGACAAAGTTGTACAATTTCGGCAATGCGTTTTTCTCCCTGACTTTTTTCTTGATTTTGTAGATGAGAAATACTGTTGTCTGTATANATAAGCATTAGCCCAGTGCACAAACGCAGAGAGGCTGACTTATGGCAACACAAAATAAAACATGGGAGCGGTGGAGATGAGGAGGAGGTGTCGGCGTTCTGGCGATTCACTCGGAAGGCTTCAGTAGAAGCTGCTTGGAGTCCCAGCAGCTTCTACTGATGCCTGTCCCCAACTCCGGGGACTTCCGGCCGGGGACTTCGGGTGGCAGTATACGCCGTGAAGTTGTTTGCGGCCTGCCAGTAAACCCAAAGCAGAAGAAGAAGAAGTGACGTCAGCGGCTTCATTTACCTAATCCTCCCTCAGGGATTTTATTCCGGTGTGAACGCGATCTGTACTTAGTTCATGAGAACTAAAGAGTTCTCATGAACCTTTGTGGGAAATGTACTGCGGTGTGAATGCGCCTAATGTGGTTCTACAATATGTGACCCGCTCTATCGAAATCAGTCGGAAGTCGCAACGGCTCATTTCAAAATAAACATGGATTTGCGTAAAAAACGACGATTGCGTATGAAACTTTTATTTCCAAACTCACACGATAAATACATTCTTTAAGCTTGTAAAGGGAAGATGACAGGTAATCTGCTCTTCCGCAGCGCCGCCCCCCCTCCCTCCGGCTGACATTATGAATGTAAGCGTAGAGTAATCATAAATAACACGGCAGGGTCCGTTACAGTTTGTTTTCCTCTGATTTCAATTAAAACAAAGTCTTGGCTTTCAGAATATTAAACTTGTTTCGGCAAATTCAGATGATAAATACAACTTTGAAGCTTGTTACGGCATAATTACAAGCGGAGAACGGAGTAACTTAACGTCACAGCAGGCATAACAACAGCCGGTGTTTCTCGTGAGGGTTTCCCCCGGGAAACAAACGCAATACACACAAACGCAAAATTACACAAACACACACACACGTATACACACACACACACACTCGCGAGCTTCTCCCAGACCAGCAATCCAAACGAAAATATCTTCCCTCCGTAGTATTTTGATCATTTGCTCTGCTAATAATCAATCAGATCGATGGATTCCAGAGAAGAGAAAACTTTGAAGGCCTTTTTCTCAAAATGATGACTCGGTGACAGTCATTATATAATGTGACATATTTTGCTTAATATTTGGAGTACAAAAACAATCCTGATATCATTAGAAAGCTAGGAATATCCTCTTTCCAGCAGTGTATACAACTCAAAATGTGTCTTCGGGTCAATGCGACTGATTTTGATAGAGCAGGTCACAAATACACATGATACATACACATTTAGTTCAGCAGGATATTCTTCACATGTTAGCACCACTTTCTGAAGCGTAAATGCAATCAGCTAACAAAAGCTAACTTTAGGCCATAAACAAACTGTCACATGACTTCACGTCACTGCTGCTAAGCTAAAGGCGGCTAATGTTCAGCGTGCTGACCTTTAGTAATCTCATTTTGTTACTTTGTCAGCAACCTTGTTTTATGACAGAAGCTTCAGACCTTAATAAGGGACGAATAGTAGTGTATGCAAGAAATGTGCAATTCATGGAGCAACAATCAGCTGGAGTCCATTTTTTGTAAATATGTATGTCATTGGTAACTAGCAGATGCTGGTGACAATTACTACTGATGCTTCTGCAGTACTAAATCTCAGCCTAGCATTGTTCAAAAACAAAAGCTACCATTAGGCTATAAAGTAACTACATCACGGTCACATGACTTGACTTCACCACCGCTAAGCTAAAGGCGGCTAATGTTTGGTGTGATGATGTGTAGTAGACTCATTTAGTCACTTGTTAGCAACTGGTGTTTTTAAGAAAAGAAAAAAAGCTTCAGACATTCTAATGACACATTTTATGTCGTAGAACAAAACGTGAAAATCTCTAAAGCTAGTGTTAAGCACAGATCTTATTTCAGGCTTCTAACCAAAAACATTTTCAAAAAATTATAGAAAAGGGAACTGGAACTGTTTTCAGGAACAGAAAACTTAATTTCTTGAGATTCTTGTCCTAACATTAAGGTGTAGAAGTGTGAAACACACAAGCCAATGTCTCCTTTAGACAGTACAGTTAAGGTTATTTATTCTGTTAATGAGTGAATGAAACCCTGAACTGTCTGCGCCTGTTGAGGTAACGTTTCCCACCACAAATACTCAAATGTTCTGGCCTTCAAATGTGAGCTGATGTGACAGATATACACACTGATAAGCTGCTGCTAATGTTTAACATGGAAAGACTGTATGTGTTGGTTGTTAGTTACTCATTGTTCGACATCATTTCAGAACTCAAGCTAACTGTACGATCATTTATAAAGGTTGTCGGCAGTGAATAATGTGAAACCTTAAAGACACCTACAGTATGTTTATCCGTTGAACATATCTACTGGTATTCTTACTGTAAACACGTACTGTATTACTTGCAGAACCTTTACTGCAGGGGTGTTAAACTCAATTTCAACTCGGGCCACATTGGCATCATGGTTGCTCTCAAAGGGCCAGTTTTATATATAAGACTATATAAAAATACATAAATATGTAATATATATAAAATAAAGTATTATATTACATTATTGCCTCTGCATTGGATTATTATTGGATAGGGTAATAACTTCATAATTAACTACGTCTGAAAGCAGAAGTCTAGGGAAAACAATTGCAAGTGTCTACAGTGCGAATGTCACAAAATGATTTAAAAAGAAAAGCCAAATTCTGGAAAAACAAAAAAATAAGTGACATTTTGGAAAAAGAAGTAACAT